TAACATGGGCCCCTACGTGTTTCCTGGATCCCAACTATGGAACTTCATTGTGTTTGAAGGGTGCAATGGGTACATAGGAATAAGCCTAAACCCTGAACCCTAAGCCCTAAACCGAGGGCATGGTCTAACCTTCCATGCATATGTCACAAACAGGGTGTACTGGACCCTAAGCCCTAAGCCCTAGGCATCATGTCAGGCCTCCGTCTCATGTGAATGGTGTGGGGCTTAGGGTGAAGCATAGGCAGACGAAGGAAGACAAGTGGCAATGTAAAACCTACCTGGTTAAAAACTGATGACCGCGCGACCTCGACAAATCTAACCCGAAACCCTAAACCCTGAGAGCAGTCTAGTATGCTATGCCCCAAAACGTCATTCCAATCATGTAGGCCCCTACATTAGTTTTGGCCCATGCAGCCAAGATGCTTCAAAGGCATTGCACTTTCAATGGAGGTACTGTTGTCTTTCATGTAGAGACCCGAAACCCTAAACCCCTAAACCCTGAACCCTTTGTTGCAGGGCTTGTATATGCCGAATACAACTTCCTCAGAAAGGAATTTCCCCAAACTGGTCCCAACATGAGCTTCAGTACAAACTCCTTGAAGGGGGTTATAGAGAGGATCATATAGGGTTTAGGGTTTAGGATTATATAGGGGAGCATTACAGGGGTTATTAAGAGGTATGCTAGGAGTGTAGACTATAGCGCATATGATCCAACAGGGGCAGCCTCGAAAAAGTCCATAGTGTCCTCAAACATCCGTAGGGTTTAGGGTTAAGGGATTAGGGTTTAGGCTATAGAGGTCTCAGAGAATTTCACTCTCTTGGAATCCTTGTATACCTATTGCATACTTCACCCCCAAAACCAAACGCTAATTAAAGAAGCCAGTACACGAGCCTAGGGCTTCAAATAGCGTGAAAAGCTAATATTTGTAGACTTTAGGGCCCGGAGTATGGAATACGGTGGATTAAGGAAATCTTGCACCAACCGATATACCTTAAACCTTGGGAATCACGGTATATTGGGGATCCCAGATGGTGCAAAATTTTCTCCATGAATCGTATTTATGGACCTGGAGTCTCGGCGGAGCCCTAAGTTAAACCCCAAGCCTTCAATGGCCATATAGCTTTTTATATGATGTCATGAGACCATCTGGGGAATATCTGGTTATTTCAGTTTCAACAGGCCATATGATGTTAAACCCCAAACCCTAAGCCCTGTGAGAGCTGCAAAGGCACGGATGAGTATTTGCATCGGCATTCCAAAAGCTCCTTGCCCTGCAGAGTTATGGTTGCAGGGGTTTCATGGATGTCTTGGTGTCAGGGTTTTAGGGATGTCTATTATTAGGGATTAGGGGTTAAGGGATGTTTAGGGGTTAGGGTTTAGGGACTCTGGATTCGGGATGTCTAGGGCTTAGGGTTTAGGAGTTCGGGATATCTAGGGATTAGAGATGTCTAGTGGTTGAGGGATTGGGGATTAGGGGTTCGGGTTTGGGGATTAGGGATGTCCAGGGCTTATAGTTTCGTTTGAAGGCGCTATAGAGAATTACAGGGTTTAGGGTTGATCAAAGGGTCATGGGGGGATGGTAAAGGAGTTGGAAGCCACCACAGGGTTTCGAAGGTCTTCCTGTCTGAGGGATCACGGCTGGATTGAGAAGCGGTCGGTTAGGATGTAGGGTTTGGGGGTATAGTCCCCCGTAAGTAGATAGAATATGGCTTTGCGTACGTTAGAAGAATAAGATCCCAATATACCCCATATTCTATCTTCTTAAGGGGACTATAAACCCTAAACCCTTTCAAGGTTTGGGGAAGGTTTGGGGCTGCCGATCACATTGGCTTTAGCCACCCCACGACTCGAGCCCCCAAATAAAGTGCGATAGCCGCCGCTGATTTCCTGTGCGTCACAAAATCCCCGTGTGCTTTCAGGAAACCCAGACTCGGGGCTCGCTGATTAGGGTTTTGGCTGAGGCACGAAGCGTTTTTACTTTTTGGCCACAACGCCTGAAGTGTGCACACTGACCCTGCCTGAACCCCAAAAGTGTGGGAATAACTGCTTTTTGGGCTCGCTCTTGGGCTTTGGGCCATTGTTTTATTTACCCACGGGACCTTCCAGGCTCAGGCGAATACAAACATGTACATGCATACATGCATACATACATACATACATACATACATAGATCCTAAACTTTCAGATGCTACTTCGCCTAGTTTTGATGTTGAGCAGATGTCTTGAGTGTATGAGTCTGCAAACATGGACCAAAGTATAAGATTTTGGCCGGAGTTCAATGTATCATTGTGCAGCACTGCTTTGAGTACCGCACCCTACATGCACTGTGCCCTGTGCTTCAAGGGCGCATCAGTCTCCAAACCCTAAACTCTAAACCTTAAACGCTAAAACTGAACCCTAAACCCGAATTGTGAGCATCCTTTGAGGATAAGGTGCAGAACTCATGCTTCAGTTCTGCTCATTAACAAGCCCTAGGTTGGGAGGTAACTGGGATTCTCCAAACTTACTGGGGAAGGTTTAGGGATTCGGGCTTAGGTTTGGTAGGGAATGAAAGAACTTACGATATAGGGATTCTATTCCCTTATTCCTTACTATCAACCCGCAAGTAAAGCGGATTATAGTTGTTTGCTTGCATCCTTTTCTTGACTCGCGCTCCAAGCCTTCCCAAAGAGATCCATGCTGCGGGAGATTGTGAGTTGAACACGCCCTTACCCTGTATCTCAAGAAGCTCTGCCCCTTCCACCCCTACAAACCGCCATACTTCAAACAGGTATCTTTTGGGAGTTGTCCGGAGCCCAGTATGACTTGGGTGCTTCTGATGCTGCAATCCGGCCATGAGTTAATCCTGATCAGACTAATCGAGTTGACAATGCCTTACCTAGACCCTGATATGTACTCTGGTCTAAACTCCTTACAGGGGGTTACATAGGAGATTATATAGGGGACTACAATAGGGGTTATTCAAGGGGATACCAGGGGTTAAGACTATGGCTCATATGAAGATCTCTCAAATTGGCGAGTACCCCTTTTTTGAGACACTCCTACGTGCGATCGCAACGAGTTCATAGTCTCAACATGATACAGGTAGATCTGTTTGTGGATCCTTCCCCCACCCAACGTGTATGAGGGTTGGCCAAAAGCCCTTGTCTACGATCTATGCAAGCAGAAGCTAGGTATGACATAATTTGTCAAAAAGTGGGCGTGCGAGCTCCGCGCAGAACAGCGCAAGAAACAGCGCAAGCGGTTGAATGGTTATTACTGTTATTGCTTTTCTTATTATCTTTTTATTGCGTGTTTACCATTTTTACTATTATTATCACTATTATCTGTATATTATTACTATGATTATTATTGATTATTAGTAGTATTATCGAGCCAAATCGCGCGCGCAAGCAGGCTCGCACAAGCTGCGCGCAATTGCAGCACAAGTCCTCGCCCAGTTCGACATGAAGGATCATCGCACAGCCCCCTTATAATCATGACAAAATCATAGTAGTAGTAATAATAATACTAATAAATGCCACTCTGAAAAGACCCTAGTCTTCCTAGGGCCCCTCTTCGGGGTGTTGCTGCCTAGGATCCAAAGTTTGGAATCTACCCGAGAGTGTGCCTCATCAGCCTTACTTCCCGATCGTGAGGGCTGTTACTGTGAGGGGATTTGACCTTAAACCCTAGACTCTAGACCCTAAACCCTAGACCTTAGGAGGACCCCCCACCCTGTAATAGTGGTATAATAGTAATATAAGAGGACCCTAATATAATCATTATTATCCATAATAGTCACTATTACTGGGTGGGGGGTCCACGTAACCTAAACCCTAAACTTTAAGAACCAGGTAGAAACCTACAGTTACTCATAACTATGGTACACATGACACTAGTGTTCCGTGAAGTTCAGCGCATTGCCACGCTTAGGGCCGTGTTTCAAGCTGGGCTCCGCCTCTAGGTACCCCAGTTCCCTTTTTATATGGGGGGTTTTAGTGTTCAGGGGACTCCTTATAAAAGCTAAATATTTGCAAAAAGGGTATATACCCTTATTCTTAAGGGGTTACTGGGGAACCTAGGCCTTATACAACCCCAAATCAGGAATCTTCATATGGAGGTTCGAAGAGTTTGGAGCACAATTCGGCGTACTTGCAAGAAGAATGTAGGTTCATGGGGGATAAGCGGGATCCCGATTTGGAATCAAGCAGCGGTCAGTATGATGTCGAGACATCCCCGTCCAGGATGAGTCCTGAACTCTTGATCATTAAACGAATAAGCCCACTTGGCAATCCGGATCCACCCTAAACCCTACACATTAAACCCTAAACCATAAGCCCTAGACCCCCAAACCCTAAACCCCTAAACCCCAAACCCTAAACCCCTAAACCCCCAAACCCTAAACCCCTAAACCCCTAAACCCCAAACCCTAAACCCCTCAAACCCTTAAACCCTAAACCTTAAACACTAAACCATAATCCCTAAACCCCTAACCCCTACAGTAAACCCCTAAACCCTAAATCCTAAACCCTAAACTCTTAACCCTTAACTCTAAGCAACTTATGAGAATTTAAGCAAAAGGATCCCTGAGCTGGCGGGCGCTTTTTAAGTCGGGTGTTAGGGCTTAGGGGCTAGGATTAGGGGTAGGACTTAGGGGTTCGGATTGTGGGATTTCAGTTTTGTCTTTGGGGCTGAGAGGTTCGGGGCTGGGGTTGAGGGCTTAGTTGTCAGGATCTTGCTAGGTCTGTAGACTCCACAACCCATGTGAAAGCTGAAGTGGGTGTTGCCCAAGCAGGATGCATGACCCTAAACCCTAAGCCCTTGACCTTAAATCCTAAGGCCTAGGTGCCTTTTAGAGAACTCTCAGCTTCCCTTCAGGCATGTGATTTTCAGCCCGCACGGGATCAATCTCAGCCTGAGGCGTTTTAGGCAAAAACCCTCTTCATGGCTTCATCCAATTTGGTTTGGGGCTAAAGGTTTTTCACCCCTCATTGAACCCAAACCCTCCCTGTGCAAGGTCTTATCTTCAACCATGGGGCAACACTCCGCTTTTTCGTTACCTTCTTGGATGGGTTAATCCTCTGAATATCGCTCTTGCCGCTCGACAGCAAAAACTTGATGTTTGGGGCTCAAGAGGGTGTGGAGGTGTAGCAATGATGTTAGGGCCCACTAGATACGCCGGATACTAAGAATGCAGCAGGACCCTAAGTACCTTATACCTTGGGAACGATGAACATTGAGTAGTCTTGTAAGGTCATGCGGGTTTTCAATAATGTAGACCCCTGATCAATAAACCCTCCCTTTTAGAGCCCTTCATATTAGGATCCCTATTATGATCCCTATTAAGGGATTTATTAATCCGGGGTCTGGGTCATCATTAGTATTTTCAGCAGAGAGATGACTAGGGATGCCCTCTTTTTCGGCCAGTTGCAGGGTTTGGTCAGAGAGGATGTGGTAGCTTCCATAAATAAGGGGCCCCAATGTAGACCCCAACTTCCTACAACCCTTATTATTGGGACCCGCAAAATAGTAATCCTAATTTCTGGATACCGCATCTAGACTGTGTTACTCCGGGCAACAGGCAGAAGTGTACAGCCTGGAAGTTTCCCCCCAAAAAGAAAGGGGCCATGTAGAAACCCTAAACCCTAAACCGTGTGGGGGTGCTGGCATTATCAAGGCGATCATGGGATCAGGGAGGGCTTAAGGTTGCAAAGTTGGCGAGGGGTCGGGGCGGGGGGCGGGGCGGGTGCCGTTTATTAGGTTTAGGATGTAGGGTTTAGGGTTTAGGGTTCAGGGTTTTAGGTTACATGTTGAAGGTTTACGGCCTGAGGTTCAGGATGTGGGGTTCAGGGTCTTCAGCTTCGCTGGACCTTTGAGCTTGTCAGGGGGGGGTTCTGAATCCCGTAGAGTTCGGTAGGCTCGAACAAACAAGCCTCATTCACGCCCAGGATTCTAGAGCTTTGGGCCTCAAACCAGTACAGGAGGTAGATCCCGAAAAGGTTATTTAGGGCTAGGATTTCGGGTTTGGGGTGTACGGAACACCAAACAGGACAAAAGCTATGAGAAATAGGACCCTTAGGGTTGCTTTGTTTAATTCCCCTTTTACTAATTCCTTAAGGTGTCTGTCCTATTTGGGGACCCCTAGAAATGTTTTCGAGTGCAGTATGTCGGGATGTAGCGTTTGAGATTAGGGGCTACGGCTACAGTGCGGAAATTTAGGGTTCAGGGGATTAGATTGGTGACCGGTGCGTCCTCACAGCACATGCCACACAGCTAGTTGCAGATAGGAGCTGCAGTCTAAATTCCTTGAAGAGGTTATATAGGGGATTATATAGGGCATTATGGGGCTTATTAAGGGGGGTAACGGGAGTCTTAGATTGCACATTAATTATAGCTCATATGAATCTTCCACGGCTAGGTTATAGGTTATAGGGTTTAGGGTTTAGGGTGTAGGCTTTAGGGTTTGGAGCTACATCTTAAGCACAGTACTCCAAGCAACCCGGACTGAGTACGTAATGACGCGCGCAGACCAACTTGCGATCTAGCATGTCAGAACCAACGGCAAAGAAGACGTGCTTGGAGGACTAATACAGGGGGCTGAATAGTTGGAGAGTCAGATGGCACAAAAATGGAAGCTCAAATGCAAACTGCCCTAAACCCCAATCCCTAGACCCTAACTGCGGCTACATAGGGGTCTATAGCGATAGCTTCTTGGTACGTTTTATGGTATCAGGGTTCAGGGTTTAGGGTACCTCAAAGTGATTCAGTCTCTACGGTGTCCGTCGCCCATAGATGTTGAATTTCTCCTACACCCAGGGATTCCCCTACTACCTGCCCCTTGGGGTTTAGGGCTTAGGGCTCACCACCCCCCAGGTTGCCCCTGCAGCAAGGAATGTCATTAAAGCATGTCTTCTCTAGGCATTTCCTTGTCTGGCTTAGGGAATTGCAGAATTTGCATTTCAGAGCTGTCCTACCCTTTTCTGTGAAGAGATCACTGGAGAATGCAGCAAGTAACTTCTTCGAGGATGAGGGCGTTCTTCTGTCCGAGATCACGAGGCAGACGACCTTGTGAGGCAGAATGCAAGCCACAGCGAAGACACGGAACCGGTCATTAAAGAATAGCTGGCGCAAATTCAGGTCAACTAGGTACCACTTTGGAATATTTGATAATTGTCCCCTATGATTGTATAGTATAAGGGAACCTGTTCCTTAAAACTATAGGGGCCTTGATTGTACCACCCAGTTAATTAAGGGGAACCTATGGGGCTAGTAGGGGAATCCATGATACATTGGCCTACACGCTTCATAGAGACCCAACCTACAGGCCACCCTAAACCCCCAAGCATAGCCCCAAGTGAGTAGTATTGTCTTTGGGGATACTATGGTACCCAATATAGAGTAAGATTATATCCTCCTTTTGGGGCATAGTATCTTATATAAGGAATATAACCTTACTGCGTTTAAACAAAAAAAACTCAAGTTTTAATTGTAGGTTGTCAAGGTTGTGGTTTAGGGTTCCCTTTTGGGTCCCAGCTGTCTAAATAGGAGCCCCGAACTTTCCCCGAAGTATTGCTATGCTTATTGTACGGGTCCCCAAACAGGGGGCCCCTAGTTTCTGGAAACCCCAAACCCATCCAACCGGTATATACTACGAGTTTCCATTTCATTCTCCATTTCCTGGTCGATTGGGGAAGAATATCCCTAAGCCCTGGACCCTAGACCTATAAACCCTATACATCTTAGACCCTGAGCCCTAGATCTCCAATCAACCCTAAGCCCTAAATCCCCAACCCTAAATCCTAAACCCTAAACATCCCTATACATCCCCTATAGTATAAACCCTGTATAACCCTTTATTCGGAATCAATGTTTCAAGCTGCCTAAACCCTAAACCCTGTTTCAAGCTATGTCCCCTAAACCCTAAACCCTAAACCCTAGGTCAACATCTTGTAGACTGAGGTAAAATCGTACCAGCCCGAGTTCACTATGAGGCCAACTGAGGGGTTTAGGGGTTTAGGGGATCTAGGGATTTAGGGATTTAGGGGTTTAATGATTTAGGGTGTAGGGATTTAGGGGATCTAGGGATCTAGGGATTAAGGGATTCAGGGGTTTAATGATTTAGGGTGTAGGGATTTAGGGGATCTAGGGATTTAAGGATTTAGGGGTTTAATGATTTAGGGTGTAGGGGTTTAGGGGTGTAGGGGTTTAGGGTAGTTCACTATGAGGCCAACAGCCGCTGAGGATTTAGCGTTTACCTCAGGTCCTCATCAACGGTTTAGGGCTTGGGGGTTAGGGTTTGGGGGTCAAGGTGTAGGGTTAAGGGCTTGTATAACTGTGGCTTTGGTACACAGTTGTAGGCTTTTGGTTAAAAGCTGCGAATTATGAGTCAGGGATTTCCTGGGAGTGTCGTCGAAGCTGGCATCAAACACCAGAAAGCTTCGGCACAAAACTCCGCCCTGCTTTGCATGCTTTGTGAGAGTTTGGAGAAGTTTCTGACGAACTGATGACGTTGTTTGTTGCCTTGCTTTGTCTCAGCTTGACGCTAGGACCCTCCAAATATCGACAATGAAAGGTATAGGTTTGGGCAATTTGTGCCAGGTACTACTGCGATGTCAATGTGATCCAGGCGTCGCGGGGTGGTTCCCCTAAACCCTACACCCTAAACCCTACAGCCTACAGCGACTTCAGATTTTCATGTTTTGGGTATCGCACATTTTGGAGGCACCCCCTCAAGCCTAGGAGTCTTCTGATGCGTGAAGGTTCATGGGTGGCAGCAACTGCTCTTGCATTGGGAGTAGGAGGTTATTTGAGACCCAAACTAGCCCTGCACGAGCAGCAGTTTATCAAAACTATGGTCCTTAAGGGCCCCTGGGCTTGTGGTTTAGGAGTTGTTTAGGGTATATGGCCCCTTGAGTACCCAACCCTAAACCCTAAACCCTAAACCCCAAAACCCTAAAAGGGACCCTGTCAAAAGCAGAGTTTCAGTCACTGACGTTGCCAGCTGCGTGGTCAATAGTCCCATGACCCTGCCAGTGAACCCTCATGCCAATCCAGAGCACGAAGTCATTAACCCAAGTACGCCGAATGAGTCTTTTCGTTGAAGCCCTAAACCCTTAAACCCTTAGACCCTAGACCCTTAGATCCCTAATCCCTACACCCTAAACCCGGTAAGCCTCCATGCCAATGGCTTGTGCCTTAAGGTTCCCTAAACCATAAACCTCTACCCACTTTTCGGGAATGCCCAACACCTTGGCAGCAGAGTTGTGCGGAACGTCCAACGACGAGCGGTTTAGGGTTTAGGTTTTGGGTTGTCCACGTCGTTTAGGGTTTTGGGTTTAGGCCGTCCATGCCAGAACTCCTCAAAGGGGCTATATAGGGACTATGTAAGGGAGTACTATGGGGTTATTAAGGCTTATCCTGGGGACAAAGAAGGAGGACTTCCTGGAAGGCCACTGTGCTTGTCCTGGTGGCAAAGAAGGAGGACTGCCTCAGCCCTAAACCCTAAGCCCACTGCTGCTGCATCATCCTGCAGCTGGCGTCCCGCATCACCGGCTCATGACACAGCCAGACGTCTCCGACGTCCATATGGGTGGTTGTTAAAATTCTGATCCCTGTTTTGGGGTACCCTAACTATTCGGTGCCGTATAATATTAGGGATCCAAAAAGGGACCGCAATTTGGACAACCACCCATATGATTCCAGATATTCTCAGCTGACACGTGAAGCAGGCGCTTGCCGAGAGCTGGCGCCGTTTGAGAGGTATGCGCTCTGCTCTCGTTGAAATCTGCCGCAGATAGCTGTTGGTCCTCGTTTTAGGTTTCAGGGTTTAGGGGTTTAGGGTTCCCATCCCTAGCAAAAGTGGTCATGCAGGCTTCCGTCCAAGCTAAACCCTTAACCCCGACCACCTTACTGCAGTCTTAGGGCTTATATGGTTTAGGGGTTTCGGGTTTAGGGGTTTAGGGTTTAGGCTTTGCAAAAATGAGTAGGCGCCCCTTTTGCGACTGCTTTTGAGGGGGATAACAGAAGATTGGCGTTCATATCAGGGTTCCCCTGTTTGTGGAAACCCCCATACACTTCCAGGAACAGAAAATCATTACAGGGGGACTGCTGTAAGGTGGTCGGCTACTCCCTCCGCAGCCTAAGCCGATTTATGCACAGTTCAACCTGTTTCGGGTCCAGGGTTTGGGCTTCAGGCTTAAAGTTTAAAATTCAGGCGTTGAGGTTTCAGGGGTTAAGGGATGCCCTGCCCTGGTCTAGGGTTTAGGGTTTCGGGTTTAGGTTTAGGGTTAGGGTTTATAAGGTTTGCAAGATCCCTGATTCCACCACTCAAGGAGCCTGCAAGACCTCAGACATCTTCTTGCGATCCTCCATACCCTTTCTTGAGACCTAAACTTGAACTCTTAATGACTAAGCCCTTATCCCCAATCCCTGCATAGACCCCAAGTCATGAAACCCTTAACTTCAAAGCCCTCAAACCTCAGACCCTAAATACCCTTAAACTCCCAAACCCTGAACTCCAGACAGTAAACCGTCAGACCCTACACCTTCAACCCTAAGCCCTAATCTCTCCATCCCTAAACCCTGAAATCCTAAACCCCAAACTCCCTCCTCTTCAAACGAAAACTCCTGCATGACCCCACTCTACTATAGCACTGAGATTCCCAATGTATAATATACTTAGGGTCATGCAGCAATTTTAGTCTCCACCATTACACCCTGGACCTACCTAAACCCCAAAAGTATGTAAAATAATAGCCCTAAACCCCTAATAATAGCCATAAAGGCCATTGTTTTACATACTTTTGGGGTCTAGGTAATCCCTTACCCTGAACCCTAAACCCTAAACCCTGGACATAATCCTTTCTTCACAGGATTACCTGGTCCCGATTACTGAGCTGAAGCCTATGCTCGACTTAGGGGACGAAGCGCTAGGCCTGGACTCAGTGGCTTACTGGCTTGCTGTTAAGGAACGTAAATTAAGTTACCATAATGGGTATATATAGCAAATAATAGGGTTTCCCCAATAAGTAACTTAATTTAAGTTCCTTAACAGCAACCCAGTTTAGGGTAGGGTTTAGGATGTAGGATTTAGGGCTTAGGGTTTGGGTTTAGGGAGTGTTTGGGGAGGGGTCTTTGAGGTGGTTTGGGGTCTTTAGGGGTTGAAGGATTTCGGGGCGTGTCTGGCGTTTGGAGAGTTTATCCTAACCCTTCGGATAACCCCTTTGGAGAGTTGCTGCCTGCCTTCAACCCTAAACCCTACACCGTGTATACGGGTCCGTAGGATGAGGCTGGGCTCCGAACCCTCGCTTTACGGCGTGGACCATGCGAGTAGTAATTTATTTGGGGATACCATGGTACCCATTATAGAGTAGGATTATATCCTCCCTTTGGGGTAGAGTATTTTATATAAGGATTCAAATCTTACTAGGTTCAACCACCAAAAAAACTCTACTCATAGTTCTCGCGGTGAGTCGGCATGTTCGGTTCATGGTCTGGTTGTCGTATCTTGCCTTGGGGTTCTGCCTGATCTTACATGGGGCTTGGTTGTTTTCAGAATCTTCTAGGCCTGCTAGAAGGTTTCAAGAGGGTTTTGTAGTGTTTTTTTGGCTTATCGGAGCATTAAGAGAGTTCCATGTAAGTCCACGGGCCCTAACCTAAAGCGTAAGCCATGTAACCCAGCAATTCCCACAAGGGACCAGGTCAAGAACTTTGTGCAGAATCAAGGCGCCGTGCTCAGTAGGATTTAGGGCCCCTCCAACCTTCAAGACCTCCACCCCTAAACCCTAAACCATCCTAAACCTTAAACCATAAATCCTACACCCTGTGCCCTGCACCTTAAACCCTAAATCCTAAACCCGAAACCTTAAATCCTAGACCCCAAACCATAAACCTTATACCCTAAACCTGAAACCAACCTGCGATCTGAGATTCAGTAGCCAAGAGCACATGCGCCCTGGGTTGAATGTTGAAAGCCAGGGATGCTAGGGGTGAAGGTCCATCCCGCGGCTGCTTTGCTTCATGGGTTCTCCCACTAACCCGCTTAGTTAAAGTCATTTAGGGATAAGTCAGGTGAATCTACGGTGTATTAAAGGGGGGAGTAGGGAAACCCACGAACGGTTGAGGGCAATTGGGTAAATCTCTCGTTGGTTTTGTCGCCGTCCTGGGGGGCCTGAGCGTCGCAGCAACGGTATCAGGATTGAGGGCCCTGGTACAATGTGCATCGTGCTCGGCCTGACATATTGAGCAACGCAAGGCCTACGAAGGCCCCATATGAGCGGTAGTCTAAACTCCTTAAAGGGGGGTTATATAGAAGATTATATAGGGACTACTATGGGGGTTATTGAGGGGGATACTAGGAGTTTAGACCACAGCTCATATGGGAGTGTGCCTAAGTTTGTTCTGCATCGTCCCTAGCAGGGAACCGCATATACCAAACGTGAAAATGCTGGGTCTCTAGACCTTTTAGGGGTTTAGGGTTTCAGGGGTTAGGGATAATGGAAACTAAAATGGAGACTACTATCGTATATTGAGATTGTAAACTACAAATAACCCCGCATTTTGAGAAACCCGAAAAACTCTTAACCCCAATCATAAACCCTATACCCTAATCCCTTAAAGGGTGTCTAAGCTCATGGGCCCTACGGTTCATGGCCTGAGGCTCCCTTGAGGGCTTCCTATCCTGGATTTGGGATTGCGTGTGGCAAATGCCGATTACATACAGCTTCGTACCACACGGTTTAGGGTTTGGGTTAAGGTTTAGGGTTTAGGGTTTAGGGTTTGGGTTTAGGATTTAGGGTTTAGGGTTTAGGGGAGTAGTGGTTACCAGTGATTACCCCTTAAGCTGTAGGTAATTGGGGTTACAGGTATGGGGCTTGTTAGGGCTTTCTATTGTGCTTGTAGGCTCCTTTGACGCCCTGAGTAGTGATAACTGGCCATGGATCACTACTTACGATTGGGGCCAACGTGCAGAAGCCCAGTTAGAGAGAACTGTAAGTAGGGTCAGAAACCCAGCTATGAGCTACTAATTCCTGAGCCTTAAACTTGAAACCCTGATCCCTAAATCTTTGTTTATAACCCCTGGAGGGTAGAAGGGAATGACCAGATCGTATCCCTCTTTGAAACCCGATTCGAAGCCTTGAGCTTTGATGCATTTTATGCTTCTCCCACTAGCGGCGCTGTAGGATTTTAAGCTGTAAGGTTTAGGGGTTATCCATGCATAGGTGCCCTTGTTATAAGTAGAAGCAGGAGCTCTAAACCCTAGGGTTTAAGGCAGAATTGATGACTTGCCAACCACGCTCGGCTGCAGGCGTGTATCCAATATGGCTTTGCCCTTACCTCAACAAGCACCACGAGGTTGTATCTCGGACGCACAGCCAGAGCTCCCTAAAAGCGCTCGTGGGATTTAGGGTTTAGGGCTGTAGGATTTTAGGTATTCAACCCCACAAACCAAGGCATCATGTATGCGGTCACCCCCCACACCAAAGACGTATAGTCCCCCGGTTAGTAGATAGAATATGGGGTGTATGGGGATCTTAGTGTAATATACCCAAACCCATATTCTATCTACTTAAGGGGGACTATAGGGACAGCAACGTAGTTGCTGTCACCCTTGGTGATTATTCTTAGTGGGACGGGATCACGTAAAACCCTAAACTGCACAATCCTGAGCTCCACACTCTCAATCCCTAACCTACTATGACAGAATGGCCTTTGAAGGACAAGTCATTCTGCAGGCTGGGTCGCCAACGCACCGAAATTTTACCCTAAGGGTCCAAGTACCTGATAATTATATACTTGCCCAAAACCTGTATTACAATTGCTATTACCCAAAACCCAAGTACCTAATTATTGGATACATGGACCCTTTGGGTTAGTTCACAGAAGGACCAGGGGATGTCCTGAGCACTCTTTTGTTTTTTTTCCGCATGCCTAAACCCCAAAAGTATGTAGAGTAATGGCTTTTTGGACTATCTTTAGGGGTTTTGGGTTATTATTTTACCTATTTTTGGGATTCAGGTAGGCCCCTAACAAACAGCCATGATGGATTTAAGGGAGGGTTCCAGGGCAGATGCTGGTGATAGTTCAAAACCCTGAACCCTAAAAACTTGAAACAGTGGCGACCAAGGTATCCATACACCATCCGCACTCCAAGGATAAGGATGTCATGTACATTGACGCCCCTTTCCGGCAAGGGGAGTGGTTTAGGGTTTAGTGATCAGGTTTAGGGTGTAGGGTTTAGGGTTTAATCAGGGTACAAGGTTTAGGGTTTAGGCCAAGGGAGATAGGATCAGTGATAAGATCCTCTTGGGACGTGGGCAGAAGAAGCCTTGGGGTAAGGGGATGCTGATTATTCCAACTTTGGATTTAGGGCATACAGTGCGAGCGTTGGGTAAGAA